CATCCCCATTGAGGAAAGGAATCCTCCTCCATCCCCGACCTCGACGGGGAATTCCTCCCCGTCGAAGACCCGAATCCCCGAGACTGAGAGAGAGAAAGAGAAAGAGAGGACTGTTGTGAGTTGAGGTCGGCAACAAGAGAGTCCGGCAGGCGACGACGATGGCAGTCGATGACGATAGACGAAGGAAGATTGAAGAACTGAGTTTTTAGTTTTCAATTCTTTCTTCTTTGAGTGTCTATGTCCTCTGTCGAGTGGGTAGTCAGTGACGATAGGCATCCGATGACATTCGATGTCCAACGAGTGACTGGCAACAACAACGGCGGTCGGCGAGTCAGCAATGAAGATGATGGAAGAAGAAGAGTCGGGTTCAAACTTTAGAGTTCTCTATTTGTAGACGACTCGAAGTGTCGAGTGTTTTTTAAGTTTTAATCTTTAAAAAATGAATAATATATAATATATAATATATAATATTATAATATTATAATATAAATAATATATTATATTATATATATATATATATATATATATATATTAATCGGAGCCGGGGTGGGGCAGGGATTGCATTCCCCATCCCTGTCCCGAACCCAATCGGAGATTCAAGGATAGCCCCATCTTTGACCCCAACCCCACCAAAGTATCTCCCATACCCGACCCCTTCGGGTCAGGGAGCCCAGGTACCCGTTAGGGATGGAGAAAATTGCCACCCCTAAGTAAGAATTAGTGAATCAGACCTGGTTAGTAGGTAGGGAGTGCAACTCGGGTTGGCCCAAATTAGCATTTTACACTGCATTGGGCTTTAAGCTTTAAAGCCTACTCAAGTTACACCCATAGTATCAACAAGTAGGGGTGTTCACGGGTTGGATCGGGTCAGTTTGAATCATTTTCTTCAACCGACCCAACCTAGTCGGTTTACTTATTGACTAAATCGAAATCGACTAACCTTGAAGGAAAACCGACCAAAACATGAAGGTCGGGTTGGGTTGGCTTATCGGTTTTTATATATATTTTAAACTAAAATAACTATTTATTTTTAAGTTTATTTCTCTTTAGTTTTTATGCAAAATCAAAATACATGTTTAGATCGATTAAATTTATACAAAACTGAATTAAATATTGTACCATTGTATTATATTTGTATTGATTTTATGTTTTTAGTTTTTATCATAAATAACCAATTTTTTTTTCAAAGTTCAAACAAAACATAAATAAAATATATCAACATTTAACGTATAAGGTAGGGGACTAATTAATAATTACTTAAGCATATAGGATCGGTTCAGTTTTGGTTTTCATACATGAAAACCAAAAACGAACCGAATTATCAGTTTATTATTTTATACAAACCGAAACCAACCTGTAGTTTTGAAAAACTGACCAACTCAGGTTGGGTCGATTTGACATTTAATGTGAACACCCCTATCAACAAGCATTCATTTACACTATGTTTAGTTTGAAGGAAAAAGTAGGGAAAGGAAAGGTAGGGAAACCTTTACAAATTATATATGGTTTTCTTATCTTTCCCTTCCTTTCCCTACCTTCGAATGAGCATTGCCCTAACAAAATCTGAACTCATTAGGGACTCACAATGACACAATTTTCAACCATGTATACAATTCACATATATTGAAATAACATTATAATTGGTATCATTACTGAACGATATTGGATATGCTAGGACTGGCATTGTATCGTGCCAGTCTGGTGTATCAATACGATACGGTGTTGTATCATTGTGTATACTGACCATATGAGCTGATACATGTTGATATATATAAATGGATGCTTGCACAACTCCAATATTAAAAATGCGGCTAACACAGTTTAGACCCATGTTTAAACGCTAACCACTTAGCATCTTAAGCCACTAAGCCACTAAGGCACTCTTTAATTTATGATAATAAGTGAAATATAATTAATTTTTTTTTATCTTAATTGCAATCATGCAATCTAAAGAAATGTCATATTAAATATTAACATGCTCAACAATTTTAACTTAAAATTAAAGAGAATAATATAAAAATTAATATTTATATTTATAAATGAAATAAAAATTCTGCCAATTTTATATTTATATCAAAAATTGATTTTTCACTCTCAATAAATATATACAAATAAAAATATTAATAATAGAATAATTATTTTAGTATTTAAAATTCATACATTTGTACTTGAATATATATTATATTATATCATATTTATTTTAGTATTTAAAATTGATATTTTAATTTGCACTAGATAATAACATATTTATTATTTATAAAAATTCAAAATTTTGTATACAAAATATTATAGCATACTATATTATATTATATCTATCAAATACAAAGATTTAAATTTATATAAAAATGATTTCTTATTTCAAAAAATTTATGGAAATAAAAATGTTAATAATAGAATATTTATTTTAGTAATTAAAAATTATGAATTTGTGTATGATATGCATTTTAAAAATTTTAATATATAGGTATGAAATATTTTAAGTTAAGATTATATATTTTATAAATTACTAATTGATATTTTAATTTTCATTTTATAATAAAAATTATTATTTATAGAAAGAAATATATTGTTTATCAAACATTTCAAAATTTAATATTTACTTGACCGTTTTCATTAAAAGCAAAAGTAGTAAAATAAAAAATAACTGATATAGTAATTAAGATATAATAATTTTATATGGTTTGAATGGTTTTCAAAACCGGACTGGACCAGACGGCCTGCCCAGAAAATTGAGAACCGATTAGGTAATTGGTTCCATTTTTCCCCAAAATCGGATTTTTGCCAAAAAAAAACATTGATTTGGTCAACAAACCACTGACTCAGGCAGTTGAACCATTCAAACCATTCAACGGTTTTGACCATTTTTATTTTTTTTTATTTTTTATTTTTTTGTCAGAGTAGGTCGATCGTTTGGTTCGAATGATCGGATTGTTCGACTTAGAAATTAGATCCCTAACCGGTTCGTTATCCGAGTCGGTTTTAAAAATCTTGATGTTTTGTTTCTTGGACTTAAATAGAATATAACATTATAATGGTTTTATGCATGTGTTAATTTGTAAAGATCTATATAGTATGAGTCTTGGAATCTTGATTGWTGGGTTATCAACAAATTTGTATGATATCTATACATTAATATATTTTTTTATATATACTATTAAAATATACATTTTTTATATATTTATACCTTATTTGTCTTTGTTTTGACTTTAAAGTTAGTGTAATTGATGTATTTATGAAATTTGTATTTATTTTTTTAGCGTATTAATGTATTTTTATATCTTTTATCCATATCCATGCATTTTCAAAATATATCCGTATTCATATTTATATCTAAATTATCCAATACCAATACTTTAATCCTTGATTACAATCATACATTGAGAATATATCCTATGTTTAGATGTTATCATTCATGGGTCCTTTGGGTAGGAGATCCCGATTGGTGTATAATGGGTTAGGTAACCAATCACAAATAAACACGTAGTATTCCATAAACATGAGGCCCTCAAACAAGATATATCTATTATTTTGTTCATTTTATTTTACTGTGGCCATACAATAAATTTTGATTTAAATGTACTTTTCAATAAATTTTTTTCTAATTTTCATTTAAACATCCAATTAGCTCCGACCATTTGATGGATCTGGGTTTGGGTCTGGATATATAATGACCCGGCTGAACCAATCCGTTTGCTTTCTGTTCTGAACTTCAAATCAGAGGTCGAAACAGTTCACATATGAAGACAGTGAGATTTGAAGACTGAAGAGTCCACATCAGTTAGGAACCACCAATCTGAATCCACACGTGATGACGTGACCCTTCGAGATCTCTCTCTCTAAGCAAATCCATAACCCTTGACTGTCTGATGATCCTGATAAATGGGACCCATCAGGTTCATTGAACAAATCACAAGATTACTTCTATTTGTGTGGCCACAACTCACAAGACGCCTTCCTAATCCAGGTGGATCAAAWTTTCCCCTGTACCCAAAACAAGATGCACATGACCATGTACAACGATCCATGCAGCTCAAGCATGCATACAAGAAGGTGGAGGCACTCTAATTCCCAAGCACCGATACTTACAACCAAAATTAATGGTAGTTCACGTGATTCTTAGAACTCTCTCATCCATGGTCAATGCTTACTTCATGCATGCATACATCGATACATCCATACATACACACCCATAAACATTTCATCATTTATTTCATAATAAATAAACTATTACCAACAACACAAAATCAAACGTCTCAATTAGGGGAAAGGTTTTTAAACCGTTATTGACCCAGATGGGTGGACCATTCAATCCGGAAAATGGCCAAACTATTGATTCTACTTTACTCTTGAACCTATATTTTCACAACAGTGATTGAATTGGTCAGTGACCCATTAACTGGGCGGTTGAACCATCAATCCATTTGATCCCATGATTTTTATGTCAAAGTTTTATTTTAATTAGTTTTTTAATTATTTTAAAACATCATGGGCTGATCTGTTYGGACTGAATAGTTGAACCACTGATCAGGAAGCTGCTGGCCAAAGTGGTTCCAGTTTTGAGTGAGTTTTCAAAGCATTGATTAGGGGTGTTCATCAAGGTTCAAAAAATCGACACGTATCAATCCATACAAGCTAATACGTATCATATCATCAGGAGCTTCCCGATAAGCCCCTACAAAAGGTGTATCAAGGTTTTGACCGATTCAGAGAGTGTGTCAAGGTTTGGACCGGTTCAGGGGTGAATTAAACCAGTTCGGTTTCAAATATGTGCCCACAGTTGGTTTACCAAACTGTGAGAGCTGCTATCTTACATAATAGCATCCTGCATATTCACCAACGGTCACATACTCACATGTGCTTGAAAATCCTGCGAACGTGACAACAATTAAACCAAACTGCATTCTTACTCGTTACATATCCCGCGCCTTTCACACTCCACCAATGCACTCTCCAGTCTCACCCATCCACACTCCTCTTCAGCTCTCTCTCTCTCTCTCTCTCTCTCTCTCATCCAAATCCAGTATGGAAAGTTACAGAAAAGGTCCACTGAAGCCATGGAAGAAAGGCCCCGCAAGAGGCAAAGGCGGCCCTCAGAACGCCTCCTGTGAGTATCGTGGAGTTCGACAAAGAACTTGGGGCAAATGGGTTGCAGAGATCAGAGAGCCCAAGAAGAGAACCAGACTCTGGTTGGGCTCTTTTGCCACCGCCGAGGAAGCTGCCATGGCCTACGACGAAGCGGCAAGGAGGTTGTATGGCCCGGAAGCTTACCTCAACCTACCACACCTTCAACCCAGCAATTGCTTCAATCCTCCTGATAAATCCCAGAAGTTCAAATGGTTCCCATCGAAGAACTTCCTTTCCATGTTTCCTTCATGTGGGTTACTTAACGTAAATGCCCAACACACTGTTCATGTTATTCATCAAAGACTGCAAGAGCTCAAGTGGAATTCTTCCACTCTCAATCAACTGCCTTCGTCATCTTCGTCTACTTTTGACATGAAATCTGAACTCTGGATCACAGACGATAAGAGCTACGTAGAAAATTCAGTAGTCAATCAAGAAGAAGTCGTGCTTTCATCGGAGAATCCAGTACTAGTGAGTCATGAAGAGAAGCCTCAGCTCGATCTAAATGAATTCCTGCAGAAGTTGGGCATTCTGAAAGAAGAGAGAAGATTGGATAGCAGCGACACCCCCGAGAGTTTTCCGCTGCCAGAATATTTGCCGGAAGATGACGAGCAAGCAGCTTTTGGTGAACAGACTTTCAATTGGGATTCACTGGTCGAGATACATGGACTAGGTGGACATCAGGGAGCTGTAGACAATGGGTTGCAGGTTGACATACACGAAGAGCTGACATTCCCTAGTTCCATTTGGAACTTCTGAAGTGTCAACTAGTTTTGGCGGAGTATGGTTCAGCTTTAGCAGGTAGATTTCAGTAGGGAAAAGCAATAGGAAAGAGAAAAAGAATACTTTGACTAATCTCAGAGTAGTATGTATGTAACTTGTCATCTAATGCAGCTGATTTGACAGTTGCTACTACTTATACTAGTTCTATTTTCCTTTGATAGTTGTAAGATATGTTTATGATAGTTCTGTCCGAGGAAAGCAAGAGATCTGTACTGTTTCTAGAGGGTAGCCATGTGTACTTTTCCAGTATAAAATCCATGACTTCATGCTTGAATGAATACTGAGTAATTTTCAACTGGAACAGATGATTCTGGTCATGGCACCAATTTAAATTTCTCTGAAACATAAAACATCTAATTAAGCTGCTGAGCTTGGGTTCAAATAGGAAATAGCTAGCCAGAGAATTACCAGCTTCGTAGGAGAGTAAATTAAGCTGAGGAAATGAAGATCTACAGTAATAAACATTCTGATTCTGTGCCTGAAAACGACTCCACCATCTCCATTGGCAAACTTTTTCTCTTTTTTTTTTTTCTTATTGCAGAGGTTAAGATAAGGCAGACACTAGGATTCTTTGAACTTTTTCTTTCTTAATTTCTGTACCAAGTAGCTCAAAAGTCACATCTCGTGAATAACTCAACCAACTGATAAGAAGCATCTCTTTCTTGGAGGATCAAAGAAATTATGGCAACAGTCGAGAATTAAGAAAAGTGCACTAAGAGGACAGTTGCTTTTTGCCAAGATAGTGACTTCTGGAACGAAGCTAATACCATTTTTAAGTCTCCTAACACCTTATATAAGACATGGGAATCAAATCCTAAGAAATGGAAGCAAGAAGCACAAAATTCCTTAGTTTCCTATGATAAGATCAAATCCTGAATAAAAGTTGTGTATTCCACTTGCAAGTTGAAGGGGCTGGAAGACCTAGAGGCATAGAAAAATACTTAGCCGGTGATGATGATGATCTGATGATCTCGACCAAGATCTCTGCTTGGCAGCAGGAAATAAGTCTTTTGATGAGATCACTAATCACTATATACAATTGTCCCTTTTTTTTCTACCATGATAAGGGAACCACGACACAGCTTCCTAATTGCTATAACAAAACAAGCTCATCAGCAGTTTCACCTAGTGTACATATCCATGAAAAGAACAAGGCACAAGATGCGGAGCCGGTCTGAGCAACTACTGATGGAACAGCTAAGAGCCTTCACAAGTAGCAGAATGGAACCTAAACTCAGTCTTGTGCTAATGCCAGTTCTGTTCCTTGATCATTGAATTCCCAATGGTATTGGACTCAAATACTCACCATGCTCCTTGAAACACTTGATTATTTGCTTCAAGAACCAATCACCATTGACCACTCACAGTTTCAGTACTGTCATAGACAACATTGTATTCTTGCCTATGTTACAGCCACATTCATTCGCCTAAGGCTGCTTAGAAACCTCACCTGAATTTTAAGTGGAAACTTAGGATTCAAGCTTGCTACTAATTTAACAAAATTTCATTTCTACCACCTAATATAAATTGTCATAAATTCCAAGAATGAAATAACTACATCTTTTTGAGATTGACCAGACCATGGATAATGATGAGGGGTGATTTGGTCCTCCAATGATATCATGACACATGACATCTCAGAACAGCTAGCTGACATCTTAGCACCACGTAAGCATATCACCTCGAACACATTATAATTGCATCAGTAACATTCTGACCACCCTAGTAGACCAAACTGCAAACAGGTAGATGGGACCTCAAGTCGGTGTAAGATATGACCTATTTCCACCAGACTACCCCGGTCCTGTCAAGACGTCAAGTTGGCATCAGAGGCAACCTGCTTCTACTGGCCTGACTTGAGTTCAGCTAGCAACCTGCTGGGTCTCCCCTTGAGTGAGTTAGCCTCCAACTTCTCCGGGATCATAACACTCGACCGTTAGACCTGTCAATCCACATCACCCGCATCAGAGTTCACCTTATCCCTTTGTATTGGATAACATATCTGGCTAAGCAATCTCCTCCAGACTTGGTGGGTATGATTTCTCAATAATCTCAGCCATGTTACAAGAAGGTTTCGGTTCCTTATGTCTATATAAAGGTATCCGCTCCCTCAGGGAAGGTACACGCGATTCATCTCTCTAATACTCTAGCTATCTTGCTATCTAACTCTCTCCTAAATCTCCAACTCACTGACTTGAGCATCGGAGTGCCCACCTCAGGTAAAGCAGCTCGACATCCGAGCCACCTTCCAATAGGGAGTAAAAGTCTTGCTCTCACATCCATCTCTAAATGGCATCCTCTAGCAACCCTCCCATCAACAACTCAGTCACAAGGCGGTAGGACCAGCCTGTAGTACATCCTGAGGTCCCCTTTGTGACTACCGGGCTGTTCATAGTGCCCCTAACCTTGTCAGGCCTCCCCATTATGCCAAACCCTACTTTTCCCTACACTAAGTAAATGTGCCTCTCCCTCCAATCGAGCCCTCAATGGCTCCTGTTGGGATCAACGTGTGCCAGTTCAATGAATTGGTGTAGTACGTCTGTGGAATGAATTTACAAATGAGGACATGGGAAGAGCGGTTTGCAGCCCTAGTAGGGATACAACATCAACAACAGTAGCAACAACAGAACTAGAATGCTGGTCATAATCAAAATGCCGAGCAAAATCAAAATCAGCAGCCCACCAACTAGAACTAGATTCTTGACCCACCTCATCGCTCCGATGGCTAGAACCAAGCCCCGATGGAAGAATTAAGTTGAGCCATAGAAGCAATTGGGATCGAGGCCACCAACTCGATTGAAGGGTCCTGAAGGAGGCGTCATAGACACACGCTACACCACAGGAAGGAGCTGCCTCGCTCCAAATGCAAATGAAGAGAAGAAGAAACAAGAAGAGGAGGCCAGCCAGATCGACAATTCGCTGGCACAATCGGTGTCTCGTACCTCGCCACTAGCTGCCGAGATTCTCATGGCCCCTTGGCCTAAAGACTTTAATGCCCCTACCTGGAATCCTAGAACGGGACAACTGACCTCGTCGACCACCTCGATAGTTTCTAGTCCCTAGTGCAGCTACACGGAGAAAATGACACAAGCCTTTGCATGAACTTTTTGACCACCTTCCGAGGCACAACTCGGATGTGGAACTAGTTCTCTAACCTATTCACTATGCACTTTGCGATGAATAAGAGCTGCTCGAAGTCGATGACCTGTCTACTAAGTGTCACCTAGCGACCAAATGAAAAGCTCCAGGACAACATCAAAAGATTTAACCTAGAGCGGTTACAGATTCCTAGCCTCAACCCAACCATCCATCTCACCATAGCGGTCAACGGCGTTCGGCATCCAGACTTGCACTAGGAGGTTGAGTTGAAACCACCGGCCTCGATGGAGGAGTTCCTTAACCAAGATACCAAGTTTATGAAGGCCAAAGAGGCGCTTGGATCCTAGTTAGAGTTAAGCAGCAAACAGAAAAGGATAGAAAAAGAGTCGGGAAGCAATAAGCAATACCGGAAAAGCAAGTGACCAAGGTGCAGTAGGTCTCCTCGGAACCGACGCAGTAGTTCCGGATGGCGTTTATGCACTCCCCTCATCCAGAACAGGAACTACACTACGTTGAATGCAAAAGGGGGGAGATATTGATGCAAATCAAAATGACCGAGTATATCAGATGGCCACTCTAGATGAGAGGAGACCCTGCCAATAGAAATCCCAACAAGTACTGCCACTTTCATCAGGACATCGACCATGATATAGAGAACTACCATAACCTCAAGGATGAGACCGAGGAGCTGATCCACCGAAGGTATCTAAAATAATTCATTAAGAGAGAAGACAAAAGCTAACCTGCTGAACAACCCTAAGATAATTGAGTAGGGATTAGGACAGAGGCAGGGATCAACCTCCCTGAGACCCACCACYAGTAGAACGGCCCATCCATCATATCATCAACATTATCACGGGTGGGTCCATAGTAGTAGGGTGCCTCACCTCAGTGGGCATAAGTTCAGTTCGGGAGCTCGAGAACAGAGACGAGAACCCACTAAAGTGCCCTCGTATGGAAGAGGTAATTTACTTCACCAAGGATAACGCTCGCGGGATATAATATCTACATGATGATGCCCTCGTGGTCAAGCTACTGATAAATGAATTCAAGGTAAGGCAGATTCTAGTCAATTCTGAAAGTTTGGCCAACATCATCCTCTTGGAGTTATTTAAGTGGATGAAGCTCGAAAGGAAGGATCTACAACCGATCGACGTCCCCCTGGTTGGCTTTAGTGCAGTAGTCCGGCCCCTAGGCCGGGTGAGGGTGCCAGTGACGATGGGCTTAGTGTCGAACTTAGTATGATTCAACCATGACTTCCTGGTGATCGCAACCCCCTCACCCTACAATGCCATTTTGGGCCAACCTATCTTGCATGCCCTCCAAGCCGTGGTATTAATATACTATTTAGTGAAGAAGTTCTTGACCTCTTATGGAGTAGGAGTGGTGCAAGGAGACCAGCTTGAGTCTTGCAAGTTTACATGGCTGCACTGAAAGACAAGGGATTGTAATATTGTTAAGGATTGTAACGAAAATCTTGTGTGTCCATTCTCCTCAACAATATCTCTTGAGAGAAGCTTGTTGATTAGAACAAACCTCCAATCTATGATGAAGAACCAATTACTAAGGAGGAATATGCCATCATTCATTATGAATTTCAATACGATGCAGATAATACTTATCATCTTGGGGATTATGATCACATTGTCTACATGCATGTCTACGAAGATCCTTATTGGCAAGCACTTTTGCAATGTTCAAAAGGGTCAATAAAAGAAGATTTAGGTTCTGTGAAGTGCAAGAAATATACTTCAAAATTTAAGATATACAATGAAAAAATCTTAATTTGTATTGGAGGTTTACATCACCAATTATCTATCAAAGGGTTAGAAACAAAGAAGCACCGTGTTAGTGCAACAACATATGTTGGTGGCCTCTTAAATGGTAACATGAATCCGATGTTAGATTCCCTCCAACCAAGGGAGGATGATGTAGTACAGGA